GCAGCTCTTTGCGATAACCGAGTTTGACTGCACCTTCCAGATCCATGCCACCAAACTCACCTGTTGGCCAGGCCACACAGAACACTGACCTTACACTTTGCCCGGAGTGAGCTTAGCCGCTACTGAACGCGCTCTCGGGAGATCCGAATGTGACCGGTTAGCTGCGCTCTTCGTCTTAACTTCGACTAGAAACAAGGAATACTCTCAAATGAAAACACGAATCAGGCAGACTAAGTTGTTTGTTTTCGCCGCCGCCACCGCGTGCGTGCTCCTGAATGCAACCACTCATGCGCAGGAAACGATCGTTAACTGGGACCACATCGAAGTGCAGGGATTATCAATCGGTGCAAGTCCAACTCCACTGGCGGTAGTCGGAACGACTGGTGTAGTCACAGAACTCATGGGTACCGTCCTTTGTAACTCCACTGGTGAGTACGTAGACTCGCAGGCGGTCGAACTTTCAGCAGACGGGGACGCATCGTTTCAAGGGACCCTTCCATACATATTCGCGTGTGACGATGAGTCATGGGTGTTTCTATTAAGAGTGTCTGGCATTGTCCCCGGCGCGCCACCGATCACCGGGCGCTGGCTGGCACACGGTGCGGCCAGGACTTTTCGCCAGACCGCCAAGAACCAACAGGTCGAGTTTATGCGTGCTTCGTTGCGGCGATGGCCGACACCGTTAGAGCTGGCTGTGCATCGGCCCCACCATTGTGTCAGCGTAATATCGGAGACACGCCCCCCGGATGGGAACGACCGGCCGCCTTTTCTGTCGAGCAAGGGGCTTTGGTAGGCGTGTGATGTTTGTTTCCGACCATATGGTTTGGTCCGAAACAATTGAGCGAAGCATTCGCGTAATCGAGGATGCTCCGTTTCTCAGCGAGGAAGAGAAACGAAATATCCTGTATAACAACGCTGCACAATTTCTACGACTGAGCGATGGTGGACGTAATAACCTGAAATGCGACTATCGCTCCTGTAGATTAATCACCAACATCTTTAAGTTAGAACGCATATGGGAAAAATTGATCTGAAACCCTATGAGTACATTTTTCTCGTCGGTTTGTTAGCGTATACAGCGGGTCAGTTTTTGATATTCGTTTTCTTTAACGATCTCGACGCTCTGCACGCTCAGGAACCCATCGATTTTGCACATTGGCTTATGTTGATTGGCGTTTTGTTGCTCACTCCACAAGCAACACATTTTCCAAAATTCATTTTCAATCTTCTTGGCGCCCCCCTTTTGATTCTTGGCATTGGCCTTATCATCGGCATGTGTGTGCTCGATTTTGTTTTTTGGAGCATTAAATCACCCGAACTGAAAAGCGAGATTGCGGCTCACTTAATCGGTACGCCCGCAATATGGGCCCCGTTCATGACCCTATCCGGGAAGATATTTAACTTAGGCCTGCTTATCTCCAGCTTCAGTTATTTCAAAACCTCAAAAGTCGGCCCGCTGGTGGTATTGCTGGGCACATTTATAGTCTACGCCGGTGGTGGATGGCTTAATGTTCTCGGCTATCTAGTGCTAACCGCCGGATTTGCTTATTGCTTCTACAAACAGAATCTCTCACAGGAGGCATGATTGGCGTTGGCGTAATAAGCCCTGGGGCTTACCACTTACCACGTATCCACATTCGGACGTTTCTTACCTTCACGCCGCGGCTTAGGTGGCACGGAACTCAACGCGCTGGCAATCCATGTGCGACTCTCCGCCGGATCAATGACATCATCCAGTTCAAAGTGTGACGCCATGTTCACCGCTTTACCGCGCTCGTACATGTTGGCCACCATTTTATCGTAGGTTGCGGCGCGCTCTGCTGGGTCTTCAATGGCCTGCAGCTCTTTGCGGTAACCGAGCTTCACCGCACCTTCCAGACCCATACCACCGAACTCACCTGTTGGCCAGGTCACACAGAACAGCGGCGCTTTGAAACTGCCACCCGCCATCGCCTGAGCACCTAAGCCATAACCTTTGCGAGTAACAATGGTCATCAGCGGTACATCGATGTTAGCACTGGTGACAAACATACGTGCGGCATGACGCACCACACCGGTTTTTTCTATTTCAGGGCCAACCATGATCCCCGGGCAGTCACACAGAGACAGTATCGGAATGTCAAAAGCATCACACAACTGCATGAACCGGGTGCCTTTGTCACCCCCGTCTGCATCTATGGCACCGGACAGGTGAGCGGGATTGTTGGCAATCACGCCCATAGGCCTGCCTTCCACGCGAATGAACGCTGTGATGATGCCGATACCCCAATTCGGGCGCAGTTCCAACACCGAGTCGATGTCAGCAATACCTTCGATCACCGCGCGCATATCGTAATAACGCAGACGATTTTCCGGAACAATGAAGCGCAGCTCACGTGGATCTGGCGCTTCCCACTGGGCAACCGGGCCCTGGAAGTACGACAGATACTTTTTGGCGGCTGCAACCGCTTCGGCTTCATCTTTAACCGCAATGTCGACAACGCCATTGGGCACCTGCACATCCATCGGTCCGACTTCTTCGGGCTTGAAGACACCCAGACCACCGCCTTCAATCATAGCGGGGCCGCCGATGCCAATGTTTGAACCTTCAGTGGCAATGATCACATCACAACACCCTAACAATACTGCATTACCGGCAAAACAGCGGCCGGTGGTGATGCCCACCAAAGGCACCAAGCCAGACAGGCGCGCAAAATAGGTAAACGCCCAGCAATCTAGACCGGCTACGCCGGAACCGTCGGTATCACCAGGGCGACCACCACCACCTTCTGCGAACAGCACCGTAGGCAGTTTGTAGTGTTCGGCAATCTCAAACATACGATCTTTTTTATCGTGGTTTTTCATGCCCTGGGTGCCGGCCAGCACCATGTAGTCGTAAGACATGACCAGCGCGCGGGAATCCTGTGACGGAAACATCGCACCATTGATGTGTCCGAGCCCACAGACCATGCCGTCACCGGTGGTGTTTTTGATCAGATCTTCAATACTGCGACGCCGCCGCTGCCCTGCCAGCACAACTGAGCCGTATTCAACAAAGGTGCCTTCATCACACAGATCGGCAACATTTTCCCGCGCCGTGCGGCGACCTGTTTTGCGCCTTTTTGCAACCGCTTCCGGGCGGCTTTCATCAAACCCAGCGGCTTTACGATCCAGCACTTCCTGCAGATCCGGGCGAATAAAATCGAGGTCCAGCGCTTCAGCTTCAACCGCATCGGTAGCCGCCACTTCTGCCGCTTCAAGATAAACCAGTGGATGCCCTTCAAAGACGGCATCTCCCGGCGCTACCCCGAGCCGTTGCACCACCCCACTCACCTGGGCGCGGATTTCGTGTTCCATTTTCATGGCTTCCATCACCACAACAAGGCGATCAACAAACACCTCATCGCCGGGTTGAATTTCAAAACTCACCACGGTCCCCTGCATGGGCGCATGTACCGCCACGATACCCTCAGGCAGCGACTCATTGACAAGATCCAGTACTGCCGGGCCCTGCACACCACCCGCAACGCCGCTTTTGCCATGCTCCAGCACGGCAAGTGGGTCAGCGTTATTGATGCGCGAACCGGCAAGTGCGCCGCCGGAAGTAGACGAATGGTCAGCAACAACCGGCGCAACCAGCTCTGCCATATGGGCATCAACATATCCGGTTGTCAGCGTGGCATTCTGCAGTGCATCGCTTGCCAGCAGGGCCTGCAGAAAATCAACGTTGGTGGCCACCCCATCAACGTGAAACTCAGCCAATGCACGCTGGGCGCGGCGCACTGTTGCAGCAAAATCCTGTTTACTGCTGACAATCACCTTTGCCAGCAGAGAGTCGTAGTTCGGATTGGTGACGTAACCCGCATAACCGCAGGTATCCGTACGCAACCCCGGCCCGGTTGGCACCTCAAACTTGCTCAGTCGTCCGCCGGAAGGCTTAACCGCACCGTCAGCACTCATGGTTTCCATGTTGACCCGCAGCTGAATGGCAAAGCCCTGAGGCGCGGGCACTGCCGCCTGAGTTAAATGCACATCTGCAAGGCTTGCACCTGCGGCAACACGAATCTGCGCCTGTACCAGATCTATTCCCGTGACTTCTTCTGTTACGGTGTGCTCCACCTGCAGTCGGGCATTAGCTTCCATAAAATAAAACTGCTGGGTCCGGGTATCGAGCAGGAATTCAATGGTGCCCAGACCTTTGTAATCCACCGCTTCCCCCAGCCGAACTGCGGCGGCACACAGGGCGTCGCGCACTGCAGGATCGAGCTCAGGCGCCGGCGCTATTTCGATTAACTTCTGATGACGCCGCTGGGTGGAGCATTCCCGCTCCCAGACGTGGCTGACCGCCCCACTACCGTCACCAATAATCTGAACTTCTATGTGACGAGCCTGTGCCACCAGTTGTTCAACGTAGACGTCACCTATGCCAAAAGCAGCCAGCGCTTCGGAAGACGCACGCGTGTAAGCGTCCTCAAGATCTTCAAGCTGTTTCACGACACGCATACCGCGGCCACCACCACCGGCAGTGGCTTTCACCACAATGGCGTCAACGCCGTTGGTCTGCATGAAAGCCCGCGCTTCGTCGAGGCTGACAGCAGAGACGCTACCCGCCAGCACCGGCACATCACATTTACCCGCCAGCTGTTTAGCCGCCGCTTTGTCGCCGAACACGGCAAGCGTTGCAGGGGTTGGCCCGATAAACACAAGTCCCTGCGCCTCAACCGCTTCGGCAAAGGCTGCATTTTCGCTGAGGAAACCATAACCCGGATGGACAGCGTCGCAGCCCTGCTGCCTGGCAAGCGCGGCTATGGCTGGCGCATCAAGGTAAGCTTTTGCGCCAGACCCCTCCAGCGCTACGCTCTGATCCGCTTTCTGCACGTGCAGAGAAGCGCCATCATCCTGAGCATAGATTGCCGTTGCCGTCATGCCCAGATCCTGAACAGCCCGAATAATGCGCACGGCAATCTCGCCACGATTGGCTACTAATACGTTTTTCATCCCTCTCCCCAACAGATTATTTGTTACGCTATCAACCTTTTGACGTCGGCCAGACGCTCGATAGTGGCCAATGCCTCGCCCTGATCCTCACACATATTACGCACGATAATATCGGTAAAACCCGCATCACTAAACCGGCCGAGCTCATCCGCCACTTCCGCCACAGAACCTGCCAGCAGAGCCTCTTCAGGAAAACCACGATAACCCCGCGCGATAAGTTCCTGTTTCATTTTTGCCGCTGCCTGGGAGGTTTCTCCAATATAGATGTCCCGCCGCACGGAGACCGCTGACGGTGTGCGGCTATGTTCCGCACAAGCCTGCTGATACTGATTGAGCTGGGCTGTCGCCTGTTGCAGGTTAAGGCCGGGTTGGGCCAGCCAGCCCTGGGCCATACGTGCCGTTCGATTGATTGCCGCCGGCGCAGATGACCCAACCCAGACCTCCACCGGTTCCGCCGGGCGAGGGTTGATCGATGCATTTTCAATTGGCCAGAAGCGACTGTGGTTAACCGTCTCTCCGCGCCACAGTGCCTGCATGATCGACAGGCTGTCTTCAAACATGGGCACGCGCTTTTTCAGATCAATGCCCATACCTGCACTCTGTTTGCGGTCACCACCCAAGGCGCACTGCAATATGAATCGGCCACCCATGATCGCGGCCAGGGTGCCAATCTGTTCTGCCAGCAAAACCGGATGCCATAGAGGCAGCAGATACAACGCACCCGCCGGCTTATTACCCCACTCCGCCAGCATACGGCCAAGGATGGCCGTGTTCTGGTAGTAATTGGTGGGTGTGACGTGATGATCACCCACAAACAGACTATCCAGATCCGCCTGCCGCGCGGCAGCGGCACGCTCGATCATATATCGGGCACCCAGACGCGGGTCTTCAACCCTGTAATTCGAACAGATAGATATACCAATACGCATCATATCCCCCTTAAAAATTGATCAGCCAAAGTCGGCCCAGATTGACGGTGTGGAATAATCGAAGGCGTGTTCCAGCAGCACTTCGTTGTCGAACAGAAAATTACCCACACAGGGCTGTGAAAAATCACCTGCCAGCAGTTTGGGTAGCCAGATCGCATCATCTGGCCACATCTGTTCATAGGGTATCGCGTCAACTGGACACCAGAACGGCCGTGCCTCGCGGGTCTCGCGCAACTCACCAGAGAACGCTGTCGCCGTAAGTGCAAAGCCCAACCATTGGGGTCCATTGCGCTCAACAAAGCGCATTTCTACACCCACTTGTGCATTCGACACCTGCAGCCCAACCTCTTCCATAACCTCACGACACGCACCTTCTATAACCGTTTCGCCTGAATCCAGTTTACCGCCTGGTGCATTTATGCGACCCGCCCCATGCCCGGTCTTTTTATGAATCAGCAACACCTCTGCCCCCCGCAGGAGAAACAGCAGCGTGCCAACGAATTCCGGTTGCCAGGGATCCTGGTAGGGTGTCGCCAGCTGCAGCATTTCAGACCTACTCAGTCACCAAGCTGGTAACGCGTCTGCAGCGCAGCAAACAGGCGCTCGGGCAAAACTTCGGCGTCACCCTGCAGTTCGGCAAGCAGCTCCACCAGGTGTTCGTTATCTTCCCGCCCCTGCCATACCTTGCGGTAGCTGCCATCCTGATACCCATTGGCCTGGCGAAACTGGTTCAGTACGTTTTTGCCCACGTACATATCAAACAGCTCCTGATAGGTCATGGGCAGATTCTGCATGGCGACAACAAACGGGCCTAATGCAAAAGATTTGCTCTGCAGGGCGTCAGCGGCAAGGGTTTCAATGGAGGCCCGAAATGCGGCTGGATCTGGTTCATCAGAAGGCTGAGCTGCCGCCAGCGTGCTGGCCATGTCTTCGACCAGGTTATCGGCACGTATTAATTCGCTTAATCCAAAATGCCAGATATCCACCAGCTCCAGTTTCACCTGATCCACATCGGGTACCTGATGTTTCCACCACTTCCAGCCAAAATGATCGAGCATTTCTGCACATTCGACCCATATCGCCCGGTAATACTCATAGCCTTGAGTCCGCCACTCCGGGTGTACCTGGATATTGTGGGTTTCCTGCATTTTTGCCATGGTGTGCAGCATGGCAGCCGCCTGGGAGTCTTGCATAAATCGTTCAGAAGGTTGTTGGACAGCTTTGATTATGGGGTATTCTTCTGCTCATGGCCAAAAAGCCGATTACAGCCATGCTCATGCATCCAGTGGTCCGGGATGAACTCTTCCGACCCGACCATCTGGATACCATTGCGCGCGTTAGCCACCTTGTTGCGGAGACCCCGTTTCGAGAGGTTGAGGCTATGGACGAGTTTTTACCTCACATAGAAGTGCTCATCACCAGTTGGGGATGTCCGCGCATCGACGAACATGTGATCTCACAGATGCCTAAGCTCAAACTGATTGCACATCTGGCCGGATCTGTAAAAGGCTTCATCGACGACGCTGTGTGGCGACGGGGTATACAAGTGGTGAACGCTGTCGCCGCTAACGCGGTACCCGTGGCTGAATACACCCTGGCAGCCATCTTGTTTGCCAATAAAAAAGTCTTTGCACTGAATAAAAACTACCTCAAGTACAAAGAGAACCGAGCCCCGTGGAGCAAAGAAGCCCCTAATGTCGGCAACTACCATAAAACCATAGGCATTATCGGCGCATCTCATGTGGGACAACTTGTGATGGACCACCTGCAACGCTTTGACATGCGTGTGCTGATTTACGATCCATTCACCACACCCCTGCAGGCCCGGCACAGCGGTGCACACAAAGTTGGATTGGCGGAACTGCTGAGCCACTCTGACGTGGTCAGCATTCATGCGCCTCTACTAGCAGACACCAAAGGTATGCTTGGCGCTCGCGAGCTGGCTCTGATGCAGGACGATGCCACTCTGATCAATACCGCCAGAGGCGGCATTATCGACCAGGGTGCCCTGGAGGCAGAATTGGTGAAAGGCCGCATCAACGCCATTCTGGACACCACCGACCCCGAAGTGTTGCCACCCCACAACCCGCTCTATCAGCTGGATAACGTGTTTTTAACCCCACATATCGCCGGCTCGCTGGGTGATGAAACCCAACGCCTGACAGATTTTATTGTGGCCGAGCTGGAACGTTACAGCCGCAGTGTGGGCTTGAAGCATCTGGTGCGGCGTGAGCATCTGGCGCGGCTGGCTTGATCATCAAACACCGCTGACAAAACACCGGATCTTTGAGTTGTCCAATATCTTCACGGGCTATACAATCGTTTAATACTTCGTGGATAAGTGCCCTATGAGCCCTCCAATAAAGTTGACACGCGATGCACACCTCGCCTGGATCACCCTCAATCGTCCGGAAAAACGCAACGCGATCAGTGTTGAAACCATGGAGGCGTTGATCTCCACAAGCGCAGACATATCCAGGGACGACAGCATTCGCGCGGTGATTATCAATGCTGCTGGTGAACATTTCAGCGTTGGCGCAGACCTTTCAGCACCCGCTGCTGCCGCAGACACCAGCTTGCTGGAACGCAGACGAACTACAGAAACCGGACAGCGCCTAATGCGCGCACTCCAAGAGATTCGCCAACCTACAATTGCAGCCGTCCACGGCGCTGCTGCGGGTGCCGGCGCCTGTATTGCCAGCGTATGTGATTTTAGGCTGGGCACAACCACAAGCCGAATCAGTTACGGAGAAGTCCGTTTTGGTATGTCATTAATGTGGCACGCATTACCCACCTGTGTACACCTGGTTGGACCAAGCAGAGCGCGGGAATTGCTCATGACCGGTCAGCTGAAAGATGCACCAACGTTATTGCAATGGGGATTTTTTAACGAATTGGCCGAGGACGAAGACACATTATCCTCCCTTGCACTAACCTGGGCAGAACGCCTTGCGGCATTGCCTCCAGTGCCAGTACAGATGATCAAGCGGTCTATCAACGTTGTTGCAGGCGCCCTTGATGCAGCAGTAATGCACATGGACGCAGATCAATTTCTGCTCTGCAGCAATACTGAAGATGCAGGCATCGCCCAGCGCGCCTTCCTCAACAAAGACAGTGCAACCTATTCCGGGCGCTGAGCGTCAAAGGCAATGGTTTGAGCCAGAACGTTCCAACCGACGCAACAGCGCAGGCCAGGTCACGTGACCGGCAGACCCATCAAACAACGACACGCTTTGTTCTGCGACATGTTCTGGCACACCCTGTTGTGGCTGCCGTGGGCTAGCGCCTGAGCTCATAGCGTTAACCTGCATCGTGCACGCACGCTCGAGGAAATACATCGCCAGCCATGCCGCTGACACATCCACACCGACAGCAAGAGAGCCGTGATTGCGCAACAACATGCAGTGTTTGGTACCAAGGTCCTGAGTCAAACGGTCCCTTTCCGATAGATCAAAGGCGATGCCTTCATACTCATGGTAGGCCAGTTCACCAAGCACCATCATGGCATGTTGAGAGATCGGCAGGAGGCCCTCATCCATTGCAGACACCGCAACACCGTGATCCGTATGTAAATGGATGACACATCCCGCGTCTGGGCGTGCAGCATGCACAGCGCTGTGTACTGTGAACCCAGCCGGGTTGATGTCATAAGCGGATGGCATGACTTTGTTACCGTCCAGATCAACTTTCACCAACGAAGAGGCTGTGACCTCTTCGAAAGCCCAGCCAAACGGGTTGATTAAAAAGTGTTCCTCACCCCCAGGAACTCTCGCTGAGAGGTGAGTGAAAATCAGATCGTCCCATCCTTGAGCGGCGATCAAACGGTACGCAGCAGCCAGATCGACGCGGGTTTGCCACTCCTCAGCTGAAACCAATGCCTGAATTGACGTCATTTACTTGCTCCATAGATCGAAAGTGCGATAATACTATACAATTGTATTGCCAGTTAGGGGAGACTTTACCGACATGACCACCTCATTGCTCGAAGGCATTCGCGTGGTCGAACTTGCGACTGCCCTGCAAGGTCCACTCGCAGCGCAATATTTGTCTGATCATGGCGCGACCGTCATCAAAATTGAACCGCCGACTGGCGACGCCAGTCGTTTCGTCGGCGTTTATCCAAGTCCCGGTCACGCTGAACAGGTAAGAGGCAGCCAGTTCATCTCAGCTAACAGGGGTAAGTTATCGGTGTGCCTTGATCTAAAGACCCCATTCGGTCACAACGCCGCGGCGACACTGGTGGCAACCGCGGACGTGTTTCTGACCAACCTACGCCAGCCTGCGTTGGAACGCCTGGCACTGGACGCCGACACCCTGGAAAAACGCCATCCCGATCTTATCTATGCCAGAGCCACCGGCTTTGGCCCCTTCGGTCCAGATGCGGACAAAGCTATGATTGACGGTGCGGCACAGGCTCGCGGCGGCATTACAGCATTGAGCGGCTCAAGTGTTTCTCCCACACCACCCGGCTGTATGTTGGCGGATACTTCTGGCGCGCTGACTCTGGCGCTTGGCGTGCTCACCGGGCTTACCGGACGTCTTCTGACCGGACACGCGCACAGAGTCGATACATCCGCCCTGGGTACGCAGCTGTATTTGCAGAGCTGGGAGCTTCAACACGCGATGCTGGGAGGCGAAAAAAGTACAGCAGCTGGCGCTCACCATGCACTACTCAATGGGTTGTATGGCGTATATCAAACCAGCGATGAAGGGCAATTGTTCATTGGCGTCTTTCAAGAGTTCGGAGCGTGGCAGAGATTCTGGACATTTGCTGGATTGCCTGAGGTTGGTGAGGACCAGAGGTGGAACGATCTAGCCCAACAATTTACGATAGACGAAGCCACGCTTGAACAACTTCGCGCCTACGCAACTGAGGCGATCGCGGCGAAGGGCACTGAAGAATGGACAGATTTTTTAGCCCGGGAACCTCGCATTATCTGGGAGCAGGTGCGTGATTTTGATGGGGTTTTTGCAGACCCGCAGAACATCGCGAACCGTCACATTGCCAGCCTAAATATTGACGCACACAGCGAAACCACACCGACCGTGGGCAATCCTGTGATGGTTGGTGGCAACCCTTGCGACGAATATGCGCCACCACCCGGCATCGGTGACCATACGATGGATATTCTCAGTGGTGTTGGCATTTCATCAGCTGAAATCAACCGCCATATCAATCATTGTCACTTTCTGCGCAGCAGCCAGAACGTGAATACAGAGGGCGTACAATGATTCGACAAATACTTGATGCCGGCGCCCAATCTCAACATTTCCTCGATCGCGAGAGCAATGGCCTACCACCAACTGGCCCCTTACCAAGAGCATGGAACGCACGAGACCTTGCGAACCGGAAAGACTGGCGATTCTCCATCTCCGAGCCTGTTGCAGATGCGATAGCCACCTCAATGAGGAACGTCCGCGAAACCATTACGTTAGCAGAGGTCGATCTGCCCCTAGAAGATTTCAAGCTGCAGATCCAATCCTGGCGAGAGGCTGTCGATACCGGGCCAGGTATCCTCCTGGTGAGCGGTATCCCAATAGACAAAATGTCTCCCGCTGCGGCAAAACTTTTTACCGCATGGCTGGGCTGGCAATTCGGCAATCTTGGGATACAGAACCCGGCTGGTGATATTGTCGGCGAGATCAAAGATACCGGTGCCGCGGCAAATGATCCTTATGTACGTAACTACACAACCAATCGGGAGTTTCGCATCCACTCAGACGCAGCAGATCGAGTGGGGCTATTGTGTATCCGAAAGGCTCGCGGCGGAGGCGGCAGCAATATCATCGCAAGCTCTGTACGTGTTTTTGAGCACCTGCGAGAAGAAGAAGCCAATCTTGCCGAACTGCTGTTCGAACCCGCTGCCCTTGACCTGCGTAATCAACAACAACCCGGGGAACCGGGCTGGGGTGAACTGGTCCCATGCCGTTGGACCGGCTCTGAGTTGAGCACACTTTATGTATCCGACTATTTCCGCTCAGCTGAACGGCACCCTGGAGTAAAGTTCGACAGCAACCGCAAAAAACTTTATGACCGCTATGAAAGAATTGCGATGAGCGATGAGCTTGCACTCCAGGTGCAGCTCGAACCTGGTGACTTATTGGTACTCAATAATCATGTGACCTTACATGCCAGAACGGCTTTCGATGATAAGAGTGAGAACATAGACAAAGCCGTTCCCGCTCAGATCGACCAGCAAGGACGGCTGTTGTTGCGCTTTCTGGCGTCGGTTTAACACCTTAGCGTTTTCTGACTTCGGTCAGCCGGGCTCATCACTGTCTTTTGGGGCTGGCAGCATTACCCCACGCGCAATCATACTGCTGTAAGCACGATAGCGACGTTTCCATAAATCCGGCTCATACCCGGAGCGGCCAAGAATTTTTTCTATATAGGGGTCCATCAGCAGCGTGCCAGTTTCAAGAAAAATAAACAGGAACGGCAACCACAAACGATCAGTATCCGGGCGCAGCTTGCCTTGCGCGTCGGTTCGATCAATGGAGCTTCGGACAATATCGTAATAGCGTCTGAAAAGTTCAGCACCCCAGGGGGTTTCTTCGAGCAGCGCACGGCGGAAATAGCGACTGAACACTGGCCAATCGTCGGTCATGTTGGCAACCCAGTTATCCAGCTTGGAGAGCACATCTCGGCCGGGGAGATCTTCTACGTGACCTTCTTCTTCGCCATAAAAGGACTCAAACGTACTGATGAAATGCTCATCAACGGCCTTACGCAGACCCTCTTTAGAGCCGTAGTGGTGTTTGATCAACCCTATCGATACATCCGCTTCAGCTGCAATATCGCGCACACTGACGCCATCGTAACCTCGTTCGCCAAAAAGCTTCATGGCGCCATGCAGGAGCCGTTCTTTGGCAGGCAGTTTTTCTACAACTCGTAATTTTCGTTCCGACAAACCAGGCACTCTTAATGTTCAGCAGTGCACACGTAACCATGACTGAAAGCAGTTTGTCCATCTTCCGTTAGAATTTCGAAATGCAGCACGCCTTTCGATTGACCCAGCAGATTCAGGCGCAACGTAGATGGCATCAGTACCATCGCAGTAAATCGTCCGCCTAAGCGCTTTACGTGGGTAGGGTCGCCACCCAACTTTTCATCCACCAGCTTGCTGATTGCCAGTGCGAGCGTGGCTGTACCATGCAGAATGATGTCCGGCAGACCGGCTGCGAGGGCCACTTCGCGATCCGTGTGTATCGGATTGAAAATTCGAGCGCATTCAGTGTAGATATGAGCGGCCCCGACAGGAACCGCAATCGGCCATGATTGCAAAACACTCCGTGACGCTGGCGCTTCAGGTACTTGTGGGGCGTGCTCAATCTGCGTCGGCTCCCCAGTGACCGCTACACCTCTGCTGATACCTAACTGATAGGTACGGCACACCAGATTCCCCTGCTCATCTACTGTATCAAGGCGTGTGGTTTGAGCTGCGCCCGGTTTGATGGCTTGCAAACCGATGATCGTCGCAGTTGTGGTGAGCCTCTCTCCCGCACGTATGGGTCGGTAGAGATGAAGATCATGGGCGGCGTGCACGCCGCGCGCGCTTTCCTGCGGCGTCGTCTGCTCGTAACCGGGCATGCGACGGGACTTCAATAACACCGGCCATTCCAGACATACCGGAAAGACCGGGTGCGCTATAACAGTTCCAGCAGCCGTATCCATGAAGCGTGGATTGTTATCCTGCAAACCGGCGGCATAAGCCATCAGCCATCGGGCATCAACCTGATGTTCGATGGCTTGTGAACTTTTGCCTACCATTACAGCGTCGAGCGGCATGTCTAGATCTCCACCTCTAACTGCAGACCAAAGGTGCGAGGCGTCAAAAACTGTACGCCGGTTCCGGTTCGCACGAGAGGCTCTTCCTCTTCTGCCAGATTTTCACCAAACAGCGTCAGCGTCCACGTATCACCCCGCACACCCACTCGCATATCTGCAGCGTTCATAATACCGGACTCTAGACCCGAGCCCGCATCAATCTGACTATCACGATAAGCGTAAGCCGCATTAACGAAGGCCTGCCAACCATTAGAGATAGCCCATTCATAGCTCGCTCCCAGGGTCAGGTTTTTCTCTGGCACATTGGGGAGTGAACCACCCTCTCGGACAGTGGCGGTTGCAGCTGCCAAATTGGCATTCACATTTTTAAACTCGGAATCGTTAATGTTGCCTGACATCTGCAGGATCAGATTGTTAATCGGCATCCAGCTGACCGCCAAGTCCAAACCGTTGAGCTTTGCATCTCCTCCGTTAGCCAGAGCAACCGTTCCAGGCACAGAGAACTGGAGTTGAATTTCTTTCCAGTCGGAATAGTAGTACGCCGCTTCAACCGCAAGTTTGCCACCCAGGAACTGATAGCGCGCGCCAACCTCATAGGTCCAGACCTCATCTGGCGCGATGGTAGTACCCGTGGGCACACCAACGCTCGCAGCTAGCGCTACCTGGGCATCTGTCTGAGTTGTGCCGCTGCGAAACCCTTTTGCTGCGCTGACAAAAATAGAACCGTTATCATGCGGACGAAAGTTCACGGCAAATCTTGGGTTTACCGTTTCATATGTTGTACCCACCGGTGGCCGCGGTAAACCCGTGGCACGATCAATACCGTTTGCAGTTGTCCTATCATCTTCAAAATATCGCAAGCCAACTGAAGGCACGACAAGACCATCTAACAATTCCACAGACACTTCACCAAAAACGGCCCAGGCTTCACTTTCAATATCACCGATAGTATCAATCACGGGAATTGTGATACCGCCACCAAAGTCGAGAAAAAAGTCTATGTCAGAATTGATGCTGGAATCGCTGTAGTAAGCACCAACCTGCCACTGCACAGCACTATCATCGGTGGATACTAATCTGAATTCCTGACTCAACGCTTCGGTTTGAAAGGTGGAATCATTGAAAAACTGAAAGCCCGCTGTAAACAGCGGAAACACAAAATCAAGTTCGTACTCGGTGTACGAGGTGGCACTGATGAAACTCATGCCGTCTAGATCGACATCAATGGTCAGTGAGCTCGTGTCCAGCGAGGTATCTATGAACCCAGGGTTACCACCAATGCCTGCCATAGTGGGTTCGTCGAACTCGATGCCCGTCAGCGGGTCCAGGCGAGAAAAAGAGTTTGCACCAACAAGTTCATTCTCCACCGTCCAGTGAGTAAAGGTCACATCCATCAAGTCCGTTGTATACAAGGCTTTCAGACGCAGGTTCCAGCTATCTAACTCGTTAATATCGTCTTTCGAAAATTCAGGGCTGTCGACCCAGCCAGGTCGTTCTTCAACACCACCAGAAAGACGCACGGCAAAATTGTCTGAGAGAGGCAGGTTCACAACACCATCCAGGTTGTAGCCTGAATCACCGTCATCAACAGTTCTCCCACCAACGCGGAACCTACCTGAAAATTCTTCTGTGTCCGGTTTTGGCGTAATGACTTTGATTGTGCCACCCATGGAACCCTGGCCATATAAAGTACCCTGTGGACCGCGCAACACTTCGATGCGCTCCAGGTCATACATGTTGGTTGGTGGCGCGATCTGCAGATTCAAAACGCCAAAAGCGACGTCGTCGACATAGTAGCCGACAGTTGCATCACCAGTCGTCCCACTGGCAATACCTCGCAAAATCACTGTCTCAAAGCCTGGTGCAGTGCTCGATACAACCGAGGCACCAGGCACAAACTTTACGACATCCGCCAGACTATCGATTCCGTTATCGCGCAATTCCTGACCATCGAGTACCTGTACGGACATTGGTACGTCTGTTATGGCCTGTTCCCGCTTCTGCGCGGTGACGATGATCTCTTCTATGACCGCATCTTCCGCCGCCTGCAAAGAAGGCGTCCATACTGCAGCAGTTACTAAACATACGTATACCAACCTGGCGCAAATTTGAAAACGAACACGTGCAGCACTCGCTGATTTCGAAAACATATCTCTCTCCTGTTTCTCAACACGCCAAACTATACACCTGTATAGTTTACATGCAATACTTCAAAACATGGCTCGGATAAAAGACTTGGCAACACATATATAGACCCCTTCTAAGAGATAAAGACAATTGACTGATCATTCGTATAGCCACGCAGATTTTGAGGCTCCCACACCGGTGACGCCTCAAGCCCGTTACGCGCTGTTTGTTTTGGCGCTCGTTTATGCATTCAATTACATCGATCGCCAGCTAATTGTCATTCTTCAGGAGTCCATCAAAGCCGACTTGGGCTTTGCAGACTGGCAGCTAGGATTGTTGTCCGGTTTTGCCTTCGCCATTTTCTACACTCTTGTCGGCGTACCGATCGCACGTTATGCAGACCGCGGTAACCGCCGCAATATCATCTCCATCGCTGTAGCTACGTGGTCAGTGATGACCGCCGCCTGCGGCATGGTTGGGAATTTCTGGCAGATGTTCCTGGTACGCATCGGCGTGGGGGTGGGCGAAGCGGGATGCAGCCCACCCGCTCACTCGATGATCTCAGATTTCTTCCCCCAGGAACGCCGCGCCACCGCGATGTCGGTGTACAACCTCGGCGTTTATCTAGGCGTTTTGGTAGGTTATATCGCTGGCGGATGGCTGAACGAAATTGTTGGATGGCGCTGGGCATTTATCCTGATTGGCCTGCCAGGCGTATTGCTTGCACTTCTGGTGCGGTTCAGTGTTGTTGAACCTGCCAGGGTGCAACTCACCGCAGCAGCCCCACCACAACCTTCAATGCGCGACACGCTGTTGTTACTCTGGTCACGCAAGTCATTTCGCCATCTCGCACTGGCGGCGGGCCTGCATGCGTTTGTCGGGTACGGCGCAGGCAATTGGGCACCGTCTTTTTTCATACGCTCGCATGGCGTGGGCACCGCAGAACTGTCGTTGTGGTTAGCGCCGGTTGCTGCATTTTCAGGCGCTATTGGCGCTCTTGCCGGCGGCTATTTCTGCGATCGGCTTGCACAGCGTGACGCGCGCTGGAATATCTGGCTACCGACTCTGGCCATCATCATATCAGTACCGTTTTCGATTACGGTTTATCTACTCGCGGATTTCCGGCAGGCGATTATCTTGTCCGTTGTGCCTACATTGCTCGGTGCTATGTATCTGGGACCGATGTTGGCAGTGACCCACGCTTTGGTGGGTAGCAGGATGCGCGCAGTCGCTTCGAGCGTTCTATTGTTGGCGTTGAATCTAATTGGGATGGGTATCGGGCCATGGTTCACAGGCCTGTTGAGTGACCTCCTGGCACCCACATACGGCGGTGAAAGCCTTCGCTATGCGCTGATTATTGTCATTCTGGTGAATATCTGGTGTGCGGTCCATTACCTGTTCTCGGCACGTACCCTCCAAGCAGATCTCGCCCGCGCACCCGCTTAACAACGCAAAACGATAAAGAGGGAAACATTTATGATTGCCAACATCATTAACGATATTCTTGACCATCATGCCAGCCATACTCCTGACGCAGAATGTGTGGTGGAGTCCAAGCAGCGCCTGACCTTTGCTGAAGTACGCAGTCAGGTGGATCAGATTGCAAAGGCCTTGCTGGCCAAAGGCATCCAACCCGGCGATCGGGTAGCCACTTTGTCGCCACCCGGTTTGAACTTCTGGCTCACTTATCTTGCTGCGACCTCTATCGGCGCAATCTGGCACGGTATCAATCCTGTTTATCGCTCCCGAGAGTTTGCCTACCTTTTATCTGACGCGACCCCATCATTAATATTCTGCCAATCGCCTTTTGACAACCGCTACTACGATACGGAACTACAAGCAACCGAAAACTGTGTTGAGTGTTTTGTTACTCACGGCGAGCCACAAGGTGATGCCATTAGCTTCGCTACCTTCCTCAAAGAAGGCGAACATATCAACCAGCAGACTTTAGATCTTGCTCGAGCGGCGGTGAAACCCGAAGACATCGCGGTGATTGTCTACACCTCTGGCACAACCGGGCAACCCAAGGGTGCGATGTTATCCCAGGGCACCATCACAGCATCAGCCATCACCAATGCTCATTGGATGGGAGAACGGCTTGACAGCACCGTATGTGCCGCACCCACCAATCACGTTGGGGCGTTAAACAACGTGTGTATGAACGTCTTTGCCGCTGGGGGGCGAATCATTTTCTATCACCGTGTGGACATTCAGGCGCTGGGAGAAATCCGCAGAAACGAGTTGCCAACATACATGGTAACTTCGCCCACCGGATTCATGATGACGATGCAATCACCCGAGTTTGACGCCTCAAGATTGAACCACACCGAACTCATTGTCTGCGGCGGCGCCACCACACCGCTGAGCATTTTGGACGCCTGGCGGGGGGTCGATTGTCCCATTTCATCTGTGTACGGACAGACGGAGACTTGCGGCATCATTACCCATACTTCGCTTGACGCGCCCTTACTGGATGTCGCAGAGACTATTGGCAAACCTCTAGAGGGTTGCGAAGTACGCATCGCCAACGACAAAGGCACACCCTGTGACCCAGGTGAAACAGGAGAACTGCAATTCCGCGGACCCTATGTCATGTCCGGTTACTACAATCGGCCTGAGGCAACTGCGGAAGCCTTCACCTCAGACGGTTACCTGCGCACTGGCGATTTAGGCTACGCCCGTGAAGACGGCAATCTCGTTTTTGTCGGTCGCATCAAAGAGATGTTCAAGTCCGGCGGCTACAACGTTTACCCGCTGGAGATAGAGCAAGCCATCACCGAGCATCCTGCTGTATTGCTCTGCGCTGTACTACCTATTCCCCATCCCCTGTTCCAGGAAGTTGGTCATGCTTTTGTGATGACCCACGAAGGCCAAAGCGTTACACCTGCAGAGTTGCGCGATTATCTGGCAGACAAAATTGCCAACTACAAAGTACCGAAAAGCTTTTCTATCGAAGCCGCTTTGCCATTGTTACCCAATGGCAAGGTCGACAAACAGCAATTAGCAAGCCGACTGACTGATCAGCCTCAGAGCGTTGCTTGAGCAAACGGAGCAAAAAATGATGAACACCATTACGGTACGCAAGATGGACTTTGAGTTTTCTGACGATATGGATCTGGTTTTTATACGGCACGACCCAAAACTATCGTTTTTATTCTTAGGCACGTGGATGTTGCTGCCTTATCTAGAACCCTACCTGATGCGAACCATACGCAAAGCCATGGAACAGGTGGACGACACAGCTTTGTTACATGATATGCAGCAATTCTGCGCCCAGGAAGGTCAGCACTATCAACAACATGCAAAAGCCAACGAAAAAGTACGTGATCTGATGCCAGCACGCCTGCAACTGAAACTGGATGAGAAGCTCGCGGAGATCAGAGACGAATACAAATCGTTTAGTGAGCAAAAAGACCTAGCCTGGAACCTGGCCTACGCGGAGGGTTTTGAAGCCTACACTGCAGCTGGTGCTCGTGCACAGATGTCTGAGCGGGTATTTGATTATATGAAAGACCCGATCAGGGATCTGATGCTATGGCATATCATGGAAGAAATGGAACACCGCACAGTGGCATTCGACGTTTTTGAAGCCCTCTGCGGCAAGTACTGGTATCGCTTACGTGTTGGTTTGTGGGCACAAAAACACTTCACCAGTCTGGGTGCAGAACTTACCCAACTGATGATCGAAGCGTTCCCAGATTTGATTGCACAACACCAAAACAGCAAAGCGAGGCATATTCGCGAACAAAACTTCAAGCGCTATCGCAAAGCAACTCTGAAAAATTTACCAGGCATTTATTCGCCCTGGTATTCACCGCACAAACTACCTATGCCTGCGATGTATGAAGAGACACGACAGGCCTATACCAAACGGGCCATATCCACCAGCTAACCCAGGAAGACACTATGCAGACTGATACATCGCAAACTAAATCTAGCGCTTTACCGATTGTGCCGCTCACCGGCGCCGCAGAAGCACTACACATCGGTAACGACGACACACCCTTTGTCGACATTGGCGATGGCACACTAATCCAGTTGCTGCTCGCTGACCTGACCCAGAACATCTGGGCAACACGCAATCGCATGCAGCCAGGCACAAGCGTGATTACCCACTACCACACCGGACCCGTTTACGCTTTTACTCTGCAGGGACAGTGGTACTACAAAGAATATCCCGAGACAGTTAACGGTCCAGGCTCATTTCTAATGGAGCCATCCGGCTCAGTGCACACCTTGACCATTCCCGAAGATCAAACAGAAGAAACCATTGTCTGGTTCCTGATGCACGGCACGAATATCAACATTGATGCTGAGGGAAATGTTGTCTCTATTGCTGATGCGCACAACGTGTTAAAAGGCTATCGCCTGCTCTGCGAGCAACAGAAAGTGAGTCATCACAACGTTATTGTCATGGGCGAAATCTAGCTATGCGCGCGGTTGTTATGCGTCCCGGGCGCTTAGACGTAGAAGAACGTCCAATGCCCGAGCCCGGCCCGGGAGAGGTGCTGATCCAAACGCTTGCCTGTGGTATCTGCGGTTCGGATCTTCACCTTTTTCGCCATGCTCAGGACTATCTGAATCAAGCGCTGCAGGCTGGTGCGGACAAAACAGCTTTGGATCGCGGGATCGTTCTGGGACACGAATTTGTCGGAAAAATTGTCGCCTTTGGTGAGGGTCCTCGAGGTGATCTGCGCATCGGCCAGCGGGTGTGTTCAACTCCTTTTCTGCCCAACAGACTGGCAGATATTCCTATGGGCGCTACTCCTTGGCTTGACGGAGCATACGCCGAATATTTTTTGTTAGACGAATCCCTGCTGATCCCGATTCCTGATCACATCGACACCCAAACTGCGGCTCTGGTTGAGCCTCTGGCTATTGGCCTTCACGCCGTCAACCGAGCAGACCTGGTAGTCGACCCGGACTGCATTGTTATTGGTTGTGGTCCGATTGGACTTGCCGTCATCACATCACTTGCAGCTAGAGGCATCACAAACATCATCGCTGCTGATTTTTCTGCTCGTCGACGCGATCTGGCTTCAACCTTAGGCGCTTCCGCCACCACGGATCCAAACAAAATGTCTGTATTTGATGCCTTGCCAGGGGACCTCAGGAGACCTGTAACGGTGTTCGAGTGTTCCGGTGCAAATAGTATGATTCGATTCTGTACGGACAGTGCGCCACCAAAATCAGAAATCATCATGGCCGGTATCAGTCATGGTGAAGAGACGTTTGTACCCGCAACCGCAATCAGCAAAGAACTCTCCCTACATTTTGTCAGTTTTTATACCACCGAGGAGTTCCAAAACGCACTTGATCTACTGGGCAGCGGGAAAGTGGATTCGAACAAATGGATCACCGGCAAAGTTGGCCTCGATGAAGTGGCGGAAGCGTTTACTGCACTGACAACGATGGAACACCACACCAAAATTCTGGTGGTCCCTTAGCCCAACCCCAGGTTGCGCCCTAAGATCCAAGCTAAGTGACATAACTTGCCGCTGTGCACGTCAGGCGGTAAATTGCTTCTCGCTAAAGCAGGTGGAAACACTTGTTCCATCATTTAAGGGGGAATCATGGATCTGTCTTTTGGACCCGAATACGAGGTCTTCCGCAACGAGGTGCGCGAGTTTCTGCGTACCCATGAAGACCAGGCACCACACAATGCCGGCATGCGCAGCCCGGAAATGCTGGCCTGGCAGAAGCTGTTGATTGAACACGGCTACGCCGCACGCACAATACCCAAAGAATATGGCGGTTTCGGCGGCACACCGAACATCATCCAGAGCCGCATCATCGGCGAAGAGTTTTCTGAAGCACGGGCAAATGCCGGCCTCGGCGGACAGGGCATCTCCATGCTGGTACCCACGCTGCTGGAGATGGGCACCCAGGAACAGAAAGAACAATTTATCAAACCCACCATTCACGGCGAAATGGTCTGGTGTCAGGGGTATTCCGAACCTGGCGCAGGCTCAGACCTTGCGTCCCTGACCACCAGCGCCACCCTTGATGGTGACGAATGGGTCGTTAACGGTCAGAAAATCTGGACCAGCACGGCACAGCTGGCAGATTGGATTTTCTGCCTGGTCAGAACCGAACCCGACGCCCCCAAACACAAAGGCATTTCATTCCTGCTGTTCAAAATGGATACCCCGGGCATAGAAATTCGACCATTGGTTGATATGACCGGTGCAGCAAACTTCAACGAGGTATTTTTCACAGACGTGCGTGTGCCCAAACACCAGATTGTAGGTGAACGCGGCGAAGGCTGGATGGTCGCCAATGCCATTCTCGGCCACGAAAGAGACTCACTGGGTAACCCAAACGTTACTCTGACGCGGTTAAACGCGCTGATTGAACTGATGAAAACGGAAACCCTCAATGGCGAGCGCTTGATCGACAACCCGGTTTATCGTGACCGATTGATGCAGTTACAGGGCCGCGTCATGGCCATGCGGTTTAACGACTTGAGAGTATTGTCCTCCCGGCTTAACAAGGGGCAGGACGCAAGCCTTGCACGCATGATTGTGAAACTGCAGGGCACCGAACTGCGGCACGATCTGGAAGGCATGGCCATCGACATCATGGGTGAAATCGGCCTGTCTTATGAAGACAACCCTTATACCCGTGCCGGAGGCAGCTGGCAGAACCAGTACATGTACTTTCTCGGCCTGATCATTGGCGGCGGTACCTCGCAGATACAGAAAAACATCATCAGTGAGCGAGGTCTCGATATGCCTCGCGAACCGAAAATCGAAAAGACCAAGTAGGAGGCACCCATGCAATTCGGACTTTCAGAAGAACAGGTGCTGCTACAGGACAACGTCAATCGGTTCCTCGACGACCACGCATCGCTGGATGCCGTCAGAGCCTACGCCGACGGTGGTGAAGACACCGCAATCTGGCAGGGGCTGACAGAACTGGGCATTCCAGCATTATTGATCGACGAGGATCACGGCGGTATCGGTCTGGCACCGTTGAACGCAGCCATTGTTGCGGAATCCATGGGTTACCACACCGCACCAGGGCCGTTTCTGACCAGCGGCGTTATGGCGCCCACCGTATTTGCTGCTGCAGGCGGGCAAGATGACAAACTAGCCGCGCTTGCGGCAGGTGAATTGCGCATTGGTATTGCCTTTGCTGAAGGTTTCGGTGCGCGTAACGATGCGGGCATCAAGGTCGCAGGCACAAACCTCAGCGGCAAATCGATATTCGCCTTCGATCAAGCTGCAGACAGCTATCTGGTCGCGGATCAGCACAAACACATCTACCTGGTTGAAGCAGACGCTCAGGGGCTGATCCGCAAGGCGCTGACCACTGTAGATAAGACCCGGCGTACCGTTGAACTGACCTACAACAATACACCAGCGACGCTCGTCAGTGATGACGCAGAAGTGTTTGCTCAAGCGATGGACATCGGTCGCGTCATGCTCGCCGCTGACACCCTCGGCGCGGCACAGAATATGATCGACCAGGCCGTGGAGTACGCCAAGCAACGCGAACAGTTCAACCGCCCCATTGGCAGCTTCCAGGCGGTCAAACACATGTGTGCGGAAATGGCCGCAAGCCTGGAACCCTGCCGCGCCATGGTCTGGTTTGCAGCCCACGCGTTGCACGAACTGCCGGACGAAGCGCGCCTGACAGCCTGCCATACCAAAGCACACCTGGCTGAAGTCGGAAAGTTTGTCGCCAAAACCTCAACCGAGGTTCACGGCGGCATGGGCTTCACCGACCTGTTGGGCCTGCACTACTGGTTCAAACGCTGTGGCGCCAACCGTCAGTGGCTGGGCGCCCCTGAACTTGTCCGCGAGGAGGCCGCGCTATTGCAGGGTCTGGCATGAACGACTTTCTGACCCTGGCAGAACGCGCCTGGCAGGGTCAGCTCGACATGATGTTTGAACATCATCCGGTGCATGCAGCTTACGATGGCGCGACAGAAATTGTACCTGGTGTGCTGGCCCTTAAAGGCATCGCCTGCATCTACATCATTGATACCGGTGACGGGTTGCTGATGCTGGACGCAGGTTCCCAGCTGGACACGCAGCGTACCTTTTCGGAAGTGCGCAAATGGCGCCCTGACACACCCCTCAACCTGGTTGTTTTTTCCCACCATCACGTTGATCACATCTTTGCCGTTGAGCCTTTTATTGAAGAAGCAAAGACGCGAAACTGGGCCGCGCCCAAGGTTATCGCACATCGCTTAACTCCGGATCACTTCGATCGTTACGTTAAAACCAACGGCTGGAACACTGCCATCAATCGACGCCAGTTTGCGATCCACGCACCCAATTTTCATTGGCCTGACAAATACCACTACCCAGACATCACCTACGACGATACTTATCAATGCCGCCTGGGTGACCTGGATGTGCGTTTACATCACGCCAGAGGCGAGACAGACGACCACACCTGGACCTACATCCCTCAGCACAAGCTGGTGATGACCGGCGACTTATTCATCTGGGCGCTGCCCAATGCAGGTAATCCCCAGAAGGTGCAGCGATACGTTTCAGACTGGGCGGCTGCCCTGAGGCTAATGGCCAGTCTGGAACCAGAACTGCTGCTGCCCGGCCACGGTTTTCCGATATTTGGACAGGCACGCGTGCAGCTGGCGTTAACGGATACCGCAAACCTGCTGGACAGCATCGAAGACCAGGTGCTCAGCGGCATGAACCAGGGGCTCACCCTGGATGCCCTCTACCAGCAGGTTGAACTGCCTGCCGAGCTGATGAAGAAACCCTATCTACAGCCCATTTACGATGACGCACACTTTCTGATCCGCATGATCTGGCGACGCTATGGCGGCTGGTGGGACGGCGAGTACGACACGCTTCTGCCGGCCAGCAAGGCAGAGCAGGCAACCGCCTGGGTAGACCTTGCCGGCGGCATTGACGTCGTAATTGCGCGCGCGCTGAGCAGCCTTGAGCAGAATCCCGCCATCGCAGCACATTTGATTGAAACCGCTTTTCACGCCCAACCGGAAAACGCCGCGGTACATGAAGCACGGGCCTCTATATATCGCGCCCGAAGTGCAGCGCAAACAGCCTCCATGGCGCGAAACATCTTCAACCACGCCGCCCTGTCCAGCGATGCTGGTGTGCGGGACCTGGCTTCAACCACCCATCTGCAAAAGAGTTAAAACCGCTAGCGCCTTGTGACCAGGCGCATTGCCGTTCACAATCTGGGACTGACATTCTGCAGTAGGATCTATGTTCCAGTCTTTGCCCGTTTTGCCGTTGAAAGACACGGTGGTTTATCCCAACATTGTTGTTCCTCTTGCGGTTGGCCGCCCCCGTTCCCTGGCGGCCATTGAAGCCGCGATGAAAGACAATCGCGAGTTCATTGCGGTCGCTCAACGCAGCCCGGATGTTGAGGACCCGAAACTCGAGGATTTATATCAGATTGGCACCATTGCCAAAATTACCCGAGTTGAAAATCGTAACGACGGCGCACAGGTTATTGTTCAGGGCGATCGTCGGGTTCGATTGATATCTCAGTTTGACCGAGAGGACTACCTGATGGCTTCGGCCGAGTACCAGGTTGACCTCAAGCACACGGCAAATGATGCAGACAGCATGGAAATAGATGCCCTGTTACGCGTCAATCGCGAGCTTGCTCAGCGCATTGCAAACCTGTACGACAGCGAAAACGGCGCACAGATGTATCAGCAGCTGGTGGGCCACCTGAAAGACCCTGTCATTCAGATGTATCGCATTGCATCGCTTGCCAATCTTTCGCTGGAACATGAACAAGCCATTCTGGACTGTGAGTCAACGCTTGCGCTGATGCAACAGGTTAACGGTGTGCTCAGCCACGAGCTGCGGGTTACCGAACTGCGCCGCGAAATCGCTGAACAGGCCCGTGACGACATTGAACAACAGCAACGCGAACACGTCCTGCGGCAGCAGAAACAAGCCATTGAACATGCGCTGGGCGAAAATGGTGAAGACGAGGACATTGGCGAGATTCGCCAGCAGCTGAAAGACGCAAAACTACCGGAAAACATAGAAGGCGAAGTTAACCGCGAGCTGAAACGATTGTCACGCATGTCGCCTAATGCTGCCGATTATCAGGTCTCGCGCGCCTACCTTGAACTGATCGCCGAACTACCCTGGCATGCCAGTACCGAGGATAACCTTGACCTGCAACATGCCCAGGACGTTCTCAACGAAGATCACTACGGGCTGGAAGAAGTTAAAGAGCGGATCCTTGAAACGCTTGCAGTTATGCAGCTTAATCCTGAAGCCAAGGCGCCTATCATCTGCTTTGTGGGCCCCCCTGGCGTCGGCAAAACCTCCCTGGGTCAATCCATCGCCAGAACCATGGGACGCAAATTTGAGCGCTTGAGCCTGGGCGGGTTGCACGATGAAGCGGAACTGCGTGGTCACCGACGCACTTATATCGGTGCGATGCCAGGCCGTATCCTGCAGGGTATTAGACGAGCGGAAGTGGTGAACCCCATCATCATGCTCGATGAATTAGACAAACTCGGTCGGGACTTCCGTGGCGACCCATCTGCGGCGCTGATGGAAATTCTCGATCCTGCACAAAACCGGGAGTTTCGTGATAACTATCTGAATCTGCCGTATGATCTTTCCAAAGTAATGTTCATCACCACCGCAAACACACTTGAAGGCATTCCTCGACCATTGCTGGATCGCATGGAGATCATGGAAGTTTCGGGTTATTCGGATATCGAGAAAAGCGCCATCGCGCGGAGTTACCTGATTCCACGACAGCGCTCTGAAGCCGGGCTACAGGAAAACCAACTCGACATAGATGATCTCACCCTGAGCCAGCTTATTCGCCGCTACACACGGGAAGCCGGGGTGCGCGAACTCGAGCGGGTAATAGGACGTATCTGTCGCAAACAGGCACGGCGCGTGGTGGAAGGTGATGATGCCACCCACGCCATCACACCGGAGCGGCTCAAAGAATTCCTGGGGCCGGAGAAATACAAACGCGACGCCAACCGCGAACAGCAACATGCAGGTGTTGCAGCAGGCCTTGCCTGGACGGAAGCCGGCGGAGACGTGTTGTATATCGAAGCCAGCCTTACGCCAAAGGAGGATAAAGTCACCCTCACCGGGCATCTTGGCCAGGTGATGCAGGAATCTGCTAAAGCCGCCCGCAGTTATGTCTGGTCTATAGCAGATACCCTTGGTCTGGCTCAGGAAGATATCGAAAAACAGGGTATTCATATCCATGTGCCAGCGGGCGCAGTACCTAAAGATGGTCCCTCTGCCGGGGTGACCATGGCGAGCGCAATTGTATCCGCTTATGCTGGTATACCCTGTGAGCCCAACATAGCAATGACAGGCGAGCTCACGTTAACCGGTTTAGTGTTACCAGTTGGCGGGATCAAAGAAAAAGTACTGGCCGCCCATCGTGCGGGCTTTACCCACATCATTTTGCCCAGAGACAACGAAGCCGATCTTGAGAAAATACCTGAAAATGTGCGCAACGAGCTGGGAATCACTCTGGCCAGCACATTAGACGATGTATTACGGCGGGCATTGCCCGGGCTGAAATTCAAGGCCGCATCCTGACGTGGAAAACGTCACCACGTACCTGATCGGCGTCGCCCTGGAAGGTATTCTGTTAGGCGTTCTGTTCTGGGTGATTACTCTGATCACGGTAGAAAGTACCAGCCTGGTTGGCGCGGTTCGCGCTGGCCTGATTGCCGAAGCAGTAGGCAATATCCCCTACCTGTGGGGTCTACCCGCAACAACCCCACCCGGCATGTTAATGAGCCTGATTGCAGCGGTGA